TATTATCGAGGCCTTATACTAATATTAGCTAGACGACCTTCGCCCTATCGAATAGAACACGAATATCGGCTATATGCCTAACTACTTACTATAGTAGCGTTTAGGCTCTCTTTTTTCTTAAGCGCTAGGCGGAGCGCCTAAGTAGGCTTATAGATGCCGTTGTAAGACCCGTACGATTAGCCCGTTTAAGGAGTGTCGTTACGGAGGACTTAAGTAGGGAGCTTACGGCAATTGTCTCTAGAGCAATTATTAGTAGGAGTATAACTTAGCCGACTAAACTATAGTTAAGAGTAGGAAGATATAGACTCCTAGGAAGAAGCCTTAAGCTAGCCCTTCTATTACTCCGGCATCTCGGCGTCGTTAGCTTAATAATGCTAGGAGTAGAGAGGTATCGATTATCTCTATCTCTTCTACTAAGACGAGATTGTCTAGTACTTCTAGTTCCTCTTAGAATAGCAGTCTAAGCTAGTAGCTATTATAGGGCATCTAAGAAGCTAAGATCCTAGACTTAACTAAGGAGGATAAGGAGGAACGATTATAKTAGGYAATTGCCCTCTCTCTTAARATTRCTCGCTCCGGCCCTAGTAGAATCTATYCGCTAGGTTAAGCGAACGCTCCTTAATTAAGYAAGGTTRCTCCGCTAGTCGGCYRTTCTTAGRGCCTAACGGTTTTTAGCTTAAGYAACCTCTTCTCTCGTGCTATCGGATTAAGCGCTAACTAAGTRCTACTAGTTAATAGTCCTAGCGATAAGYATATAGGGCCTAAGGGTCCTATTACTTCGAGTAATATCTAAGAGCGCATAACGACGTTCTAGCGCTACTTAACGAGTRTTTATATAGCGAATACTAATCCTACGCGATCGCTTTAGGATACCGTTAACCGCTTATATACGAGGGCGTAGGCGGCCTTAGACGACTATTAGGATCCGAATACGCCTTAGATCTAGTTCTTGTAGGTATAGGCGGCGGCCTTAATAGTAGATTTTAAGAAGAATGCTTAGTAGTTCGGTAGATATAAGCTAAAGAAGTAAGATTAGGTAGCTTAATAAAATTTCCTTATAGTTAGGCATTACTTAGAGCGTTAGTGTAAGGGCCGTGTAAGAGCCCTTACAATAACAGGATTAATAGAGGTAGCTAGATTAACTAACCTTAGAGAAGGGAGTGTAATGTAGCCTAACTGCTTAGCGTAGGCTTAGCGTATATATAACTCCTACGCATAGCGCACATTCAACCTATAAGAATTAGTCTTATCTCTAATCGAGTAATTACGGGTGTCTAATACATTACTACATCTTTACCCTTATAATTCTAATTCTTCTTCCTCTCTAAGGGTAGCGATCTATTAGATCCTAACGAAATAGCCCCTAGGCGCGCCGCCCGCGAAGCGACTACTCCCGAGTAGCGCTACGAAGAAGAACGCGTCGAAGAACTCCCTAATTACGGAGATGTCGAAGAAGTCGCTACCGTAGAGCCTATATAGCCTACGCTAGACGAAGACACGATAGATTATAGAGAAGTCGAACGCGATAAGGAAGAGACCGCTAATAAGATAATCCAGCGCCTCGAAGGCGAGAAGTAGGCTCTATAGTAGTAAGAGACGATTCGCTAACTTTAGTTAGAAGTCTAACAAATAAAGCGTAATCGGGACCGCGCCGACGTAGGCGTAGCTACTACTATACCCCGCCGCGGAATCGTGCCTACGCGCCTCTTATATAAGGAAGATCCGGATACTATAAGCACCTCGAGTTTAAGCGTAGCGTATACGCGTAGCGGAGTAGGCGTAAGACCTAAGATAAAGGATCTTAAACTATTCTTAGAGGATTCTATTAAAGAGGCACGCGAATTCCTACGCCAACTTAAGATAATCTTCGCTAATACTACTACTAGCCTAGAGAGTAACTATAATAAGGTCCTCTATAGCGTTATGTAGCTAGGGGGAGATGCCGCGGAGTCGTAGTATAACGAGCACGATATCGAGGCGCTTACGCCGAGCTATACGTAGGAGGATTTCTAATCGTTCGTACGTAACACCGTCGGGGACCCTACGAACCGCGCGCTTAGCGTTACGCTTAAGTACGAAAGGGTTCGATAGAGCTAGGATTAAACGGTAAAGCAATTCGCCCTTAAACTAGAAGTACTAGAGAGTTAACTAGACTATACGTAAGCTTAGCTCGTACGTTAGTTCCTCGCTAAGCTAAGACTAGCTCTCCGTTAGGAGATTATTAAGTTACACTCTATACCTATAATAAGGGTAGAGATAGTAGCGCTAGTAAGGCGCATTAAAGCAGCCGATAAGGGTACGAACGCACAGCTTACGGGTACTAAGCGCGGCAATTATAAGTCTTAGGACTATAACCGTAGTAGTAGTAGACTACGTAAGAATACCTATAATCGTAATAAGGAACGTAAACCTAAGTCTAACCGTAGTAGCGAGCAGCCTTTACGCAAGCGTAAAGAAGGCGCCTATTTAGACCTAAAGTGCTCTAACTATAGCCGCACCGGCTATGCTAATAAGACATATTAGGCTAAAGGCGGCGGCGTAGAAGGCTAAGGCCCGAGCAATACGCGGAGTAAGGTTACCGTAGTTGTTACGGAAAAAGTAAAGGACTCCGAGAAAAAGCTTAAACTCTAAGTCCAAAGCTATTAAGCAAGGTCGATATACACCTAGCGCGCTACTAGCGCGGCGTAGTCGAAACGAAGGTAGGACTAATATAGGTCGACTACCTACTAGACGATGTAGCCGATATTAACGTTATATCGAGAGAATTCGTACTTCGAGC